ATGATCCCCCCCTCAGCAGTCAGAGCTCTGTGGGTCGGCCGCTCCAGCGTTGTACAGATACACGTTTCTCACATGATACAATCAGAGGGTTTTCTTTGCTTAATCTATCCTGAGGATAAATAAAGGGGGACTTTTAATCTAACATTTGCTGTGTCTTATGGAGGAGCTGTGAGGTTTGGGTACAAACGCACATTAGATGTCATTATTGTGGTAGTAGCTGAGACTCATTCACAATTCATCCTCTGATGAGAGAGTTGGCAGTTCGATTCCACCGCCATTCAGTCACACCTGTCTCTGAGTTTAACACTGAAACTCTACTGCCTCTGTGTGTGTCCCATCAGTGTTGTTTAAAGCAAYGTTTCCCAAACTTTTCAGCTTTTGACCCATAAAATAACAGCAGCAGAGACCTGTTCTCCCAACTATATTTGGGTAATAAACATTAGTTTCATGTCAAATAAATAATGGCAGAGTTACAATACTCTRTGCTAATTTCATTCATTTTAATGTTCATTAACCTCTTTTTTTGTAAAGACTAAGACAAAAACGGTTAGTTGTCATGGTTAAACGTAATAACTTGTGAAAATGCTTGGAAGGCCCTACCTTGAATGTTTCAGGACCCATAGTGGGGTCCTGACCCCAACTTTGGGAACCACTGATTTAAAGCATTGACTAGTCTCTATAGAATTATTAATCTAGATTAGTTTAGGGCAGGGGTGCCCAAACATTTTCCCTGAGAGGTCCAAAATTAAAATCAATCTGAGGGCAGTGGGCCAAATGCATTAATATAATACATGAAATGTAAATACTTCTCAAGTAAAGTTGTATTTTTTTATGATTAAGCTAGCAGCCAGTGAAGTTGCCCATATTCTTTTGTTTGTTTGTTTGTTTTTTGTTTTTTCAGTCCATGTACATGGAGAAAATTCAATGTATACTCAGGCAGCAAAGGCTCATGGGACTTTTCATAATTTAAAATTTGAGTGTATGCTGTCTCATAAGGTATAGACTTAAATGTAAAATAAATGTCTCTTGAAGTTACTTATATTTTATATATAAAATCTTAAAAGATAAAGTGAGCACCATGAGTAGGACTATCTGACCACAGCTCCTTATATGGATAGTTGGACCAATGGTTGAAAAGACTAAGTAGAAATATAGTGTTTCTGCATAAGACAGGAGATTACAATCTRCTAACCAGGCTGGTGGGCCAAATCAAATAGCTTGGAGGGCCAATTTTGGCCCAACCACTTTGGGCACCTCTGGTTTGGAGAGACAGGGTGTGAATGAGAGCACAGATTGTAGTGTAAAGTACACACATTAAAAGTCATCCACAATMTCACTCCTTCCTAACTAACTGACCTCCTCCCTCCACCTCTCTGTCCTCTCTGCAGGTCCATCAGCCGCTCTGCTCCTCATCTCTCTGCCCTCTGGATTAAAACATCACCCCTGTCYGTCTCTGTTTGAGGCTGCTCTGAAAACCTGTCGCTTTGGACCAGCGTCTTGACTTCATTTGATGTACTTTGTATTGATTCTTTTCAATGCATTCATTTTTACTTGGTTTTCACTCATGTGTTTCTTTCCTAAAAGCATTCGAGTTTTTCGCAATCCCAGCTAAATGGTGAAATGTGTGGATCTTGGGGGGTTTTCCTGCTTGTAAGTCAGAATGGATGCCCAGTGAAAGCAAACAAACACGGTTGTCAAGGCTGCAGTGTGAAGAAAGAAAAGTTTTGTAGATAGGGTTGTGTGTGTGTGTGTGTGTGTGTGT